ACACACAGTTGGAAATCACTGGTGTTTCTGACGTCACAAACGACCTTGTAACCAATCAGAGCAACGTGTGATCATCAACCAGTGGATCTCTGAGTGAGTGGAAGCAGGGCTCATTTGCATATTCACTGAACCGCAAATAATAAATGAGGCAAGGGTATTGAGTTATCGAGTTATATTAAGGCACAAAGACATTTTTTCAAGGATTTTTTTTTTAAATATGTAATTTTAGTTATCAAATATGAGTTTTAAGGGATAAAATTGTTGACTACAGGGGTTGGTGTGTTACAATTATGACTTCTGTTTTTTTGTTTTCATTAAAAAACGTTAAAATTCTAAGTGGACCTAACTAAATAATAAAGTATTCCTCTTTATGTCAAAACAGGAATCCATCACTTCAGCTGTTGTCTAACACCACTGAGTGTGTGAGAAATGAAGTTGAAATAAACATCTCTCACCTGCGTCCGCAGACACTTGAGATAACTGCACCGGAGCCTCGAGCAGCATCTGCTGCTGGCCGGAGTCACACTTCGTCCTGGCAGGAACAGGAACAGGAACAATCACGATCATGGATGAGCAGAGGCTTAGTAAAGCAGCGCTCATCTTTAGGGTGGCCAGTGTCACAACAAACACACCCCGAACAGAAGAGCATCATTCTAAAATCATTGTCACTTGTGCTGAAGTCTCAAATGTGTGACACTAAATATATGCAATTCATTTAACAGCGATGATCATTCAATGAGAGGTAAACAGCTTGACCAATCACAACACACTGATCCAACCGACCAATCGGAGCACAGAGTGCCTTATAATTGCTTTGTAAATTGCCCTAGTTAAAATTACAATTTGCATTATTCCTTTAGTCAACACTAAAACAATAATTATAAATAACATCATCAGCGGACACAATTCATTATCGGTGAGTTCCAATGGCAAAGTTTTTATTTTAGAGAGAACACGAAGATCAGCAGATGTTGGATCGGATCATTGGCACTTACAGCTGGAGTGTGTTGAACATCTGGAAGCAGATGTTTCGAATGTCGTCTTCGTTCTTGTCCCCGACCTCTTGCAGAACGCCACCGATGGCTTCAAACACCTCATCCCCATCCTCGAAATCTGAGCCGCCACTACCCAACACTCCTGCGGCGCAAAACACACAGTCAGAACACACACCTGATCCTCAGCATCTCCATCAGTGCGCCTGCGACACACTGTTCTTCTGGGTTTGCGAGGTCAGCATGTAAAAGAACCAATTGCAAGTGTAACACGCTTGGAAAAATATAGTTTCAAAACGGTTAAAGGGCAGTTCTCACACTTTACAGATGATTTTATTGATTTTTTTGAGCAATGCTTTCATTTCCCACTCTGTCCACTGAATGTTACAGTGCGATCGTACTTGTCAAAGGTACTACTGCGATCTTTTAGCGATTAATTGTGAAAATCTACCCAGACAGCAACACAGTGTCATAGTGTCACACTATATGTGCCAGTCCTTTTATTAAGGGCCCTAAAAGAGTCTGTTTTCACCTGAAGAAATAAAGCACTAGTTAAAATTATATTGTATATTAAGTAATCACATACACACTATTTAATTATATTAATATGCAACTTAAATTAATAATTGAAATCTACAGTTGTCACTGCATATAAATATTTTAGTGGAAAATATATTAACAAATGAAGGTATAATAAAGACAGAAAAAAGTTGTCTTCATTTATTAATTTCATTCTAACGCCATTCATTTATTATTTTAAATGACGCCTGGGAAACTATGACATGACTCATGAACCATGATAATATTTTTGTTACTGATCACATAATCTGTCTTATTATCTATTATTCACATACATGACATAATTCATCAAGTCTATCAATCAATCTGCAGAACTCATCTATTACAAAGTTGCGGTATCGTTCAAGAAAATCATCTGTCAGGCACAAACTATATGTCAAATCGATAAATCGTATCTAACATAAAAGTTTGTTTATATAATGTGTGTGTATATTATAATATTTATATGAATATAATATACATATGTTCATACAAACATACACTACCGGTCAAAAGTTTTAGATCGGTAAGATTTTTTATGTTTTTAAATGAAGTCTCTTCTGCTCACCAGGGCTGCTTTATTTGATGAAAAAAAAATGACAAACAGTAATATTGTGAATATTATGACAATTTAAAATGACTGTTTTCAATTTCAATATATTTTAAAATGTAATTTGAAAGCTGAATTTTCAACATCACTACTGTTGCTGATCACACATCAGTTTTCAGTGTCACATGATCCTTCAGAAATCATTCTAATATGCTGATTTTATGCTCAAAAAACAAATTATTATTTTCAATGTTGAAAACAGTCGTGTACCATTTTTCCCCCCAAAATTCTATGATGAATAGAAAGTTCAAAAGAACAGCATTTATTTAAAATATAATATTTACTAACATTATAAATGTCTTTACTGTAACTTTTGATCAATTTAACTCATCCTTGATGAATAAAAGTATTTTCTAATATTTTTCCCCCAAAAATAAAAAAATAAATTCTTACTGACCCCAAACTTTTGAATGGTAGTGATTAATGTTACATTAGATTTCCATTTCAGATCAATTCTGTTCTTTTAAATTTTTTATTCATCAAAGAATCCTGAAATAAAAATGTAAAAAACTGTTTTCAACATGGATAATAATCATAAATGTTTCTTCAGCATCATATTATAATAATTTCTGTAGGATCATGTGACACTGAAGACTAGAGTAAAGATGCTGAAAATTCAGCTTTGATCACAGGAATAAATTACACTTCACTATATATTCACATAGAAAACCGCTGTTTTAAACTGTAATAATATTTCACAATATTACTGTTTTTTGTGTGTTTTCTATCAAATAATTGCAGCCTTGGTGAGCAGAAGAGACTTATTTTAAAAACATAAAAAATCTTACCGATCTAAAACTTTTGACCGTTAGTATATATATACATACATAGACATATGACATGATATATATATAAACTTTGATGTACAGCACTATATTATATGATAGTAAACCATCTGTCTGTCAGGAAACATGAGACCGGTGTCACTGACAAACTGCTTTATTTCACAACTTATATTGCAATTACGTTTTGATTGAATCGATAACTCGTGTGTCCATGAAATTATTTAAGCGCTAATCTGTCAGTAATTCCTCAGATTTATCTGATAATGTCTGCTAGCATGACCAACACATCAAAAGAACTATTTTATATAATGAATGAACTCGTGTCATTGACGCAGAACCTGACACTAACAGCGCATATAAGGCGTCAAATACTGTATGTGTATTAATGTCATATATTTGTACCGTACCAGTGATATAATCGAAGAGTTCAGAGTCAATCTGTGGAAACTCGTTCTTCAGTATCTCCACAAACGCCGCCATCATACACACACCGGGCCGCCGGACACCAGGCGCATGCGCAGTGGCGCATCAATTACACGTGGACGAGCGCAGCAAGAATACTGCTGTTCGGCTCTGCGTGTTCCCCCAGAGAGACGGACAGGAACAGTTGTTATTATCAAGTCTTATAACAGTGCACTCTAAATGTAGTTAGACCTGTATACAAATGAAAAGCCACTTCAGCAAAGATATAAATAATTAAATAAAAACGCATTTTAAATTGATCAGAAAGCACTGTGATTGGTGTATCGTTGAAACAGCGCTGAAAAAAGTAACATGTACCACGTGACACGGCTGTGCGAGTACGCAGTTGCTCTGGATGTAATAAAATAAAAAATAATAATAATAAAACAGAACTAATTGAATGTCTTTTGAGCTGAAAACACACAGTGAATCTACTAAATAATAGAATTATTATACATATCCATCATAGATAATATCTATTTTTAACACAACATACTGACATAATTATTTTTTGCAAAAATCATATTCTTCTTCTAAAATACTAAGTAATAGTTCGTAATTTCGCCTAGGCTACACTTATATAGCAGTAGCTTGCTTATTTATTTGTTCAAACTACAACTTGTATTTTCTCACCCAGAATTTGTCACTGCCGAAACAATAGCAAACATAATATATGTGAACATTTTAACAGCAAATTTGATCAGACTGATTTCAGACTTAATGATGAACCAAAAGATATGTTTATCAGACATTATCATGGACTTCATGTTTCAGTGGTGATAACAATATTATCATACTTTTATTATAACACAATCACATTCTTCCATTAAAAAACACTTTTGTTTTATGATTAATAAAAAAATAATTAATTGATGTGTCAATTGTCTGTGTTTGTAAGGATAAACACTACAAGATCATATAAGAAAAACTATATAGGCCTATATGCTAAAAACAGAAATCATTCAACACAATGAAAATCTTTACACTTAACTTTTGCTTCTTACGCTTTGAGTGTTGCTTCATATTCAGGAATAACACATTATTAATAACTCTGAACTGGAAACAAGGTTCACTTGTGTTGACAGTATCTGACATTATATCTCTGAACAGGACATTTTAAATCTTTAAATCTGACTTTCTAAAACTACAAAATCATTTTGATCTGAGCGACTACACCACTGTATATTTCTTTCAATTAACGTATGATAAAAGTTTTGGAAGTGACAATTTTAGGTATTTTTAGCATAACTGAGCACATGCCTGACAAACACATCTTTGAACAATTGTACATTAAAAAAAATATATTATTTTATGTAATTGCATTAAAAATGTGTTTGGTAGTGACATTACCTTTAAAATGAAGGGATCTAGCCATGATGGACAGGGATGCAGCCTCACTTTCTGGGTAAACATTCAGAGATGTGGCTAAAATTAGGCTAAAATGTACTAAAACCCAAAGCATTAATTCAAATGTATTTTTTAGTTTAAGCAGACATTGACATTCTCATGACACCCAATACCTGAATTATTAACAGTTATTTTGAACATTAATATTCTTCTATATTTTGTACAGGGACACATTGAGAAACACTATACATTTTATCAAAAAACACTTTATTTTTTCCAAACAATGGCAAAATGAGGGACAAATCAGCTCAGACTGATATAAGAAGACGTAGAGCGGAGAGGAAGAGGAAGTCTCTGGTCACTGAGACTGAAGGACAGATCAGCTCAGTACTGGAAGCTGCGTTTCGTCTGAATGTCATCCAGGATTTGCTGTAACTCGTCATCTTCAAACCGGCCTTCCACGCTAGACAGGGAATACACACAACAGCTGGTTAGATTCGTTAATGTGATGTTCGGTTAAACACCTTCATCAGTGTGCAAATGTTTTAAAGAGCTCCTTCTACAGCTCTCTTTTTAGAAACAATTACATTTTCTCATAATATACTTTTTTTCCCTCAGTGTCTAAAATGATTCAATAAAAGATTCAAGTCTACTCTGCTCTGATTGGCCAGATGGCTCAGTCTGCTGTGATTGGTCTACTCTGCTCTGATTGGTCAGATGCTCTGTCTGTTGTGATTGGTCTGCTCTACACTGATTGGTCAGATGAACCAGTCTACTGTGATTGGTCTACTCTGCTCTGATTGGTCAGATGGCTCAGTCTGCTGTGATTGGTCTGCTCTACTCTGATTGGTCAGATGAACCAGTCTACTGTGATTGGTCTGCTCTACTCTGATTGGTCAGATGAACCGGTCTACTGTGATTGGTCTACTCTGCTCTTATTGGTCAGATGAACCAGTCTACTGTGATTGGTCTGCTCTACTCTGATTGGTCAGATGAACCAGTCTACTGTGATTGGTCTACTCTGCTCTGATTGGCCAGATGGCTCAGTCTGCTGTGATTGGTCTACTCTGCTCTGATTGGTCAGATGCTCAGTCTGTTGTGATTGGTCTACTCTGCTCTGATTGGTCAGATGCTCTGTCTGTTGTGATTGGTCTGCTCTGCTCTGATTGGCCAGATGGCTCAGTCTGCTGTGATTGGTCTACTCTGCTCTGATTGGTCAGATGCTCTGTCTGTTTTGATTGGTCTGCTCTACACTGATTGGTCAGATGAACCAGTCTACTGTGATTGGTCTGCTCTACTCTGATTGGTCAGATGAACCGGTCTACTGTGATTGGTCTACTCTGCTCTGATTGGTCAGATGCTCAGTCTGTTGTGATTGGTCTACTCTGCTCTGATTGGTCAGATGCTCTGTCTGTTGTGATTGGTCTGCTCTACACTGATTGGTCAGATGAACCAGTCTACTGTGATTGGTCTACTCTGCTCTGATTGGCCAGATGGCTCAGTCTGCTGTGATTGGTCTACTCTGCTCTGATTGGTCAGATGCTCTGTCTGTTGTGATTGGTCTGCTCTACTCTGATTGGTCAGATGAACCGGTCTACTGTGATTGGTCTACTCTACTCTGATTGGTCAGATGAACCAGTCTGTTGTGATTGGTCTACTCTGCTCTTGATTCACAGTGATACGAACAGTAATGATGGTGTTGTTTTTTACCGTATCAATCTCATCCTTTGGAAGTGCAAAGTCTTGTTTGCTTTGGAATCAAAAAAACAGTTGTTTTTTTTGTCCAAATTCACCCACTTATACTACACCCTAATACTATGTATTGTTTTAGTTAAAAAAAGTACACACTTTCGAGTGTATAGCAGATGAGTGGGCAAGGTTTGGGACAAACATAATTGCGTCTTTAACGGACAGCACTGTTGCTTAGTTACGTGCATCCTATCACCATGTAAACTGCCCTACCAATCATCTTTCACAATTAAAATCCTCCAAATTCAATTTAATTTCCTACTGAATCAGAGAGAAATGAGGTAGCACGTTGATCTGCCAGTTGTGGGTCTGGAGAACTCTTCCCGGCGACTTCCGGCGACACGCGCGACAGCGACCGGTGGGGCGTGTCCAGCGACGCAACGAAGTTGAGAAATGTTTAATTTTATGCAAATGAAGGGCGATTTTCACGAGCGACAACCAATAGAAGTGAAGTCAGTGGAGCGCGTCACTCTTCAGTGCTGAGTCTGACCGAGGCAAGTTGAACGAGCTCATTTTAGCAGTCAAAAACTGTCCTATAATTCATGATATATCTCCGTGTACATAGAGTGGTGTTCACCGTACTGACTCCGTGACTGAATGGTTTCAGGGAAACCAGATAGACTGGTATTTGCCCGTTTGCTGCAGTTAAATTGCCGCGATAGTAAAGAGCATTCACTGTTTCTCGTTCATCTTTAATATTATGCATTTTATGTACTGATTCCATTCATATTTAGACTTTTCCTTACAAAAAATTAGTTTGTAGCGGCAATAAAACATATTTGTTGTCTAACATGGAGTAACTTCCGTGAATGTCACTCACAAACATTACTAGGCAACCAGTAGAGGGGAACGCCCTCCAGCGCAGCGTCACGTGTAGTGTGAACAGGGCTTCATAAGCGAATTAGGACGCAGCAAAAGTCTTCTCGACTTGACAGCACTAACCGAACTCTTCCAGGCTCAGCTACAACTACAGTGTTTATGTAGGTGGGTAAAATTAGACGATGTTCGCGGGAAGCCAATGAAGAATCACTGCTTCTTTTTGGGAGACAACTATTTATCTGCACTTGGATCTCTGCAACTTTGCAGACCTTTTACTGTCACAAACAGCTTTATTACACACTACATGAAAGGTCATGTCTGAAAAATACGACTTCTATTTTTTACTTGCTCTCCCAACATAGTGTAAAATAAATCACAGTTCTGGGCTGCGTTTCCCAAAAGCATCGTGAGCCAAGTTAAACCAATGGTTCTACGATCTACTAAGGTCTATAATGCCTCTGGGAAACGAAGCCCTAGTCCACATTATTGAACCCTGGGTCAATGTCTGCAGTCCATGCACAATCCAAGACAACATGTTGGGCAAAAAATGACAGATTGACATACAGGCATAAGATTGTCCAAAGTAAGCAAATCTCCACATTTTAATGACCAAACTTGACAGATTGACAATAAAATGACTAAGAATCTCAAGTGAGAATAGTGGCCAGAGATTAATATAAATAAATAAATCTGCATATTATAATGACCAACCTTGGGATGAGGGCTTTGGCCTCCTCTGCAGCCTCGGGACACAGATTGGCTAAACTTGCCAACTCAAACTTGTGAAGCTTCTTCTGCAGAAGTAAGCTGTGAAACACGGCCACAGTTAACAGCGATGTCAGAAAGAAATCATATGAGGGGAAAAAAACTACATAATCTCTGAAACACTCCATTTAGTTTAAATTAAGATTTGGGGGAAAAATACACACGCCCAATTATCTCTCTGTAAAAAAAAAAAAAAAAGTGTCAAACTTATGTTAAAATAAAAAAATACTAATATGCGTTCTTTAACTTTATAATATAAAAACAACCACCTAAAACCAGAGAGAGTAAAGAGCATCATATAATGAAACAAAGTTCATGTTAAGTAGCTTTTTCCCAAGCTGATTTATATACTGATATTTAGAAGATGCACACAGTGTCTTTCACACAAATATGCAACACAACACGGCATCATGTTTAGCTGCTACGACCGACTTTATTACGCTGATTAGCTAATAAAAATGGTTTGCTACTACTGGTTTTATTCCTCTATACTAACTTCCATCATAGCCCACGATTAAATAAGTGTCATCATCGTACAGTCTACATACGCCGTTCCCACGTTTATTAAACGTATATTTGTAATGATCTTATAGGACTGCCAAACTGTCTGTAGCAATTCAGAATTTTTACCCTAATAAAAGTGAAAATCACACAATTCTGAGGGAATAATATCAGGATGAAAAGGCAAAATTACCTTACCTACATTTAGTGGTGGAAAAAAGCATTCATAGGAAAACCCTCACACTAGAAAACTGCATGTCTCTCAGTGTACAGTGTGTGTTGTTGTCTCTCAGTGTGTGTTGCTGTGTGAAGCCTGCTGACCTGCGCACACTGGCGATGGTCTCTCTGTTCTTGAAGCGGCTGAACCTGGCGGTGTAGTTGAGGGTCTTCATGAAGACCTCGGACAGCTCCTGCTCGTCCTCCGCGCTCTCGTTCTGCTGCTTGCGATGCTCCAGCAACATGTGGACCTCCGAGTTCAGCAGCGTCTCCGAGTTCTCGAACTCTGAGACAAAACAAACAGCGGTCAGCGTATGAAACAAACAAGACGTAAAACCACACTAAACCAATCGAGAATTAACACACAACCAAAAAAAACACATTCAGGGGTGTTTCCTCTGAGGAGGCGAGGGGGGCAGTGCCTCCTCAAAAAATTGGATGAGACAATAATGCACATTAGAAAAATACAACAACGTGAATATTACCAAATGTGACATTAACAAGTGTTTAAATCACTCTTTTGAGAATGAATGGAGGAAAGTCACGTGATTATTTTTATCAGTCACTCAATCTTGTACAGAAACGAAGATGTAACGTTACCTTTAATTTCCCCAAGCTGATTCATTGCTCACTAAAAAAAAAAAACCCTACAGTTTTCATGTTTTCAAGCCATTTCAAATTTGATTTTTGACGTGACATAAATCGGTGATATCTAAAATGAGTTGCTTTTTAATTAGTCTTCACATTAACGCTATCATTTTGGACATTCAGTCCGATTCGAGAACATGCACGAAAACAAGAGGTGGGATTTATCGCAAGAACCGATCATATCCTCAGCTGAACATCAGTTCGCAAATTAAATAGTGCTATATGGTTTACATTGTGTATTAGTTATTATTTTGGAATAAATGTAAAAATGCTTCAAAAACTAAGTTGACATTTTATTTAGTTTCTCTAAGTAATATATATATATATATATATATATATATATATATATATATATATATATATATGCCTCCTCATAGTAGAACAGCGCCGACACTGATATTTGATATCAGTATGTGTGTGCGTTTGTTGTCCATAAAAAAGGGCTGATGGTGTGTGTGTTTTGTATCACTCTCACCTTTAGGAAACATGAGCTGCGACGCGTCCTCCTCCACATCGCCCACTTGCGTCGCTCCTCCCGCCGCCATCACACAATAACTGTGTAATGAAGAAGATATTGTGAATATGAGTAAATCTTCACTGTATGCTGCATGTACAGTCGCATCACTACAGCTACCGCCGTTCAATGAAACACTTTCTACTTCCGGTTAACTTCTTCTTCTTCTTCTTCTTCTAAACGGATGTTCACTCCTCATCATCGCCACCTACCGTATTCTGTGAACTATTTCCTATCTACGTCTCTTGAGTGAAAAAACTCATCAGGAAGAAAACTCAGAGGTTGTCTCTTGGAAAAAGGAGGTTGCAAAAAGTATTTAAGGGGGCAAATAATTGTTCCCAACGTGTTTTGGAGAAAAACATTTATTTATAATGAGATTTCCCCTCACTCTCAATTATAATTATTTTATTTAAAAGTTTGATTATTCAATAATTATTATTCAATAATGATGCTCTGCCAAGGACAAGGCCATAGAACTGTGTTTAAAGCATATTTATGATTGACTATCATGTTATAGTTAACTTTGAAATTAATTTTTGATATGTTTTAGCTTACCTCAAGGGCATCCAAGATGTAGGTGTCTTTATTTTCATAAAGGGCATGCACAGAGAAGTCCAAATTAAACATGATTTAATGACTCATAAATGTAAGTACACAATGATGGCCTAAGACACAAAACGAGCGGTTTGTGTGAGAAAACGAACAGTATCGTTTTTTTTACCTCTTGTACCCACCACGTCCAAGTGATCTGAGGGCGCGGGCGCTTTGTGGCTGTACTAAGACCTGCATTATATGACTGAAAGACAAGAACGGGTTGACCTAAAAATATAAAAATTGAAGTTACTGCGGAAACAAAGACCCCTATATCTTGGATGCCCTTGAGGTAAGCTAAAACACACCAAAAATTAATTTTAATTCCCTTTAATTTTAGTGACAACATGTTGTTGATTTTACATCGATTCATCTGGATAAATATCAGATACATTCCACAAGGAGAAAAATCTCTTAACTAATGCCGGACATAAAAGGAGCTGGTGTTATTAACAACTCAAATGTGGTTTTAGCTACAATAACATTATACCTTTTTATGACAGGAGTAAAAATATTATAAATATGTAAAATAGTGCATATATTTAGTAAAATACTCTCTACACTTATTTTTCAAGCTAACTATGGCCAGTAAATGAATTTTCTGCGTTCAATATGTGGCATTTTGTTTTATTGACCTTCTTCTACACGGTCGATTAATCGATTACTTGAGACATGATACATTTCAGGACAGATCACATTTTTTCTTCACTTTCCTTCAATCAATCTATGCTTAAAGGAGAACTCCGGCGAACAATGAACCTTTGGTCTAATAAAACATCGGTACCTAGTCAACCGTTCTCTGAGATTTGTTTTCATGATAATCGAATGTAAAGAGTTTTATCTCTAAAAACTGTTTAGCGTATAATGCTAGTAATGGGGGCATTGAGTAAGTAAAAGAAATCGCTAGTTTATACCACTAACAAGGCTCAAAATAGCCCCACACTAACACAGAAACATAATGAGGCTCCATACATGCAAAACGAAGCATTGAGAACTTTGTAAGTGTACAGACCGTTTAATAAGAAGATACTTTATGAAGACAGTTCATTTCGTGTACACAGACAGGAGCCATCTTAAAATCCTAATAGTCTCGATAAGTCGATCCCCGAACGCCGTTCATACAGTTCAGAAGTTCGTTGAACTTCATAGAGTTCAGATCACTCAGCACGACGTTCGTGGTTCGACTTATCGTTTTAAGATGGCTCCTGTCTGTATACGCGAAGTGAACTGTCTTCATAAAGTATCTTCTTATTAAACAGTCTGTACACTTACAAAGTTCTCAATGCTTCGTTTTGCATGTATGGAGCCTCATTATGTTTCTGTGTTAGTGTGGGGCTATTTTGAGCCTTATTAGTGGTATAAACTAGCGATTTCTCTTTACTAAGTCAATGCCCCCATTACTAGCATTATACGCTAAACAGTTTTTAGAGATAAAACTCTTTACATTCGATTATCATGAAAACAAATCTCAGAGAACGGTTGACTATGTACCGATGTTTTATTAGACCAAAGGTTCATTGTTCGCCGGAGTTCTCCTTTAACAGGCAGTATTTATAAAATATTAGATTTTCCTCTTTTGTAGTACCTCATTTTAGTTCTTTTTGGAAAATGAACAATTCTCACTTAAGACACAATTCAGTTAAATTAGAACTTACAAAAATGATTTCTGTACATTGGGATTTGGCAAAAAAAGGAAGAAGCCTTTAGTAGATATTGGGAACTTTTAAAATATGAAGTTGGTAAATATCTAAGGTGCTTTGCTTTCTAAAGTAAATAGAATTTCAGAGCAGCAAACTGTGTCTGAAAGTGTCTGAAACTGAGGAGAGATTGTGGTTGACTAGTCTACAATATAAATTACAAGAGATCTATGAAAGAGATCTTACTCCCTAGAAATTGTAAATTCAATAAGTGCTATAGAAAAATATTTTTGTGATCATGATATAATATTAGAAGAGGTAGCTGATTCCATAAAACATCTAATAATTTATTTTATTTTTTAAAGGAGCTAAACGCAAGTATCTGAGTTTTTGCAGAACTACGCCCCCTCTGGGGACAAGCGAAACTGCAACCAGAGCTGTGCGCGTTCATGGACACACACACACACACACACGCACGTTTGCACGAGCTGTTCATAACCAAAGTAGCATCAGCCGCACATTGTGCGGCACACATCTTTTGTTACAGTCATAATGAGGTAATACAGTAATAAATCTGCAAGTCATTTAAAATATATGAAAGGAAAGGCATTCGAGTAAATTACACACTTATGTGTGTGAGAGGGGGAAACGGGGGTAGTAGAAAACTTCGGTTTTTGTTTCCATCTATCTCCATGTGCTTACTGTATCCACTTATGATTGAATTATTATGGAAACACGTTCAGTTATCACTTTGTATAGGATCCGTTTGAGCTCTAGAGCAGACCGGAGATCTCTCCGTTTGTTGAAAGCCTTCCCGATGTTGACTCTCGTCTTATTCCGACGCATGGCACTGGACAGACAGAAGTTTTATTTTCTTTGTCTCACGAGGAGTTTGTGTTGGGGTTTGGAATGAACTACAAGCCGGTCTCTTTCCGCGCCATATACAGATTTAATGAAGTGCACGTCACCGAAAGCAACAGATATGAGCTGCATTTTATTAATCATCGGCTAATTTCAAAATCAGCAAAGACAGCAATAAGAGAGATCGGCAACAGGCTTGGTAAGATCATTTCATTTCTTTACTTTTAACGAAGATGGTAGTGTTAAGCGTTTGTGACTTACTTTCATTTGATTTGCGACAGATTGCGGCGCGCTGGCTTGATGAAGGGGCTCAGCTCAGCTGCTCATCTGAGGTGATGCGCGTCGTCATATATGACTAAAATAACATGACATATAGCTTGGTTTCAACAACCAGATGCATTTACACTTGTCCAGTTTCATCTGGAATGCGGCCTAGACCACGTCCTCAAGTTCTTTGAGCGATCGGATTCAAATCCGTCTCTAATGCGTTTCGGAGGGCATTTACACCCTGGTCTTTTCACGATCGAATAGCTATCCGATCACAGAAGACACATGAAGTGACCAGGTGTAAACAGCCCCTTTGAATCCATCGTCTACTTTTGTGGAAAGCTGACTAGAGTTGTGTCGCTCGAGTTGTCTTCTGATACGGAGAACGGCGGGGAATAGCTACACGAACCTGCCAGACATAGCCAGGCGAGCGTGAACGCGCATGACGTCACGCCCAGTCTCAGATTCGAGCCCGAATCCCTCTTATATATTTCACTGTACAGGATTATAGATGCGATCGCAGTGATCAAAGAAGGTTTAAGCATGTATGTGTTAGAAAACGGCTATTTTTAACATGAAATGTTGCGCAATGCACCTTTAAATCAACCATTTTTAGCTCAAAGGTTTGTTATACTTGGACATTTTGTGTACAGAAAAGAAACTCTCTTGCATGACCCATTTCAAGAGGTGGGAAATGTGAGTAGTCCAGGCTATAAATAGGATACTGTCTAAGATAATATAAGAAAACTTTTATTTGTCCCACAGTGGGGAAATTGTATGCTTATTTAGACCTATAGTTTAACTGAACATTCAAAAGGTACTGTAGTGTCTGAACAACACATTTTTTACTATAGATAAAATGTGGTTTATTTATACTCTCAAATGTACATTATTCTAATAAATTAATTCTGATTTATATTCCTCAGATTCCTTAGCACAGGGGATTCTTTCACCACCATAGCCGCCAGTTTCCACCTTGGAATTTCCGCAGCTCTGGAAAACAACTGCCCTGAGGTTCTCTGAAAAATCGAGCTTCCCCAACCGTATCGGTGCTTTGGAAGGGAAGCACATTGTGATTCAGGCACCAGCTAATTCTGGCTCCCAGTTCTTTAATTATAAGGAAATCTTTTCTGTGGTTTTGCTTGCCTTGGTTGATGCCGACTACCGCCTCGTAGTGGTGGATGTAGGGGCATCAGGCAGCAACAGCGATGGTGGAATACTTTCCAATTCATTATTGGGACAGGCCCTACATAGTTTAATGTTCCTGAGCCTTCTCATCTGCCATCTGCACCAGAGCTGGGGGCGTTACCATTTGTAATTGTTGCAGACGAGGGATTTCCTTTAAAAACGTTCCTTCTTCGTCCCTACCCTGGAAGACGCCTGCCAGATGACAAGCGCGTGTTCAACTACAGGCTCTCCAGGGTTCGACGTATAGTTGAGAATGCTTTTGGCATTCTTAGCCAGTGCTGGAGAGTCTACCAGCGCTGTCTGCAAGTGGCTCCAGAGACAGCCGACAGCATCGTAAAGGCAACTTCCTGCGAAGGGCCAATGGGAACCACGGTGCAGAGTCTGACAGTTCTGATGGCGCAGAGGGCAGTGAGCTGGGTGACATTAGAGGTCTTCGAGGGAACAGGGCATCAGCTGAGGCACTGAGGGTGCGGGACACATTCAGACATTATTTTAGCTCACCTGCGGGCCAAGTTCCATGGCAGCTTCCTCATGTGAACCGAGGTCTCCCTCAATGACCTGACTGATTTATTTCTGAACATAGGAGGAAACATTTAACATAGCATGATTAA